CTTGTCAGTCCAATTGGTTGCACACATCCCAATTGATAAACCCATTGGAACAGTGGATTCCAATCGGCCTCCCAATTAGAATGCTTATTGGTCCAATTGGATGTGCACACCCAAATAGGAAAAGACTTTCCAATTGGAGAAGACCCTTTAGTGGAAACATTCTAGTTGCAAAGAGTTCATGTTTTGAGTGTTCAACTGGTTCACCTAATAGAAACCAGTTAATTTCAAGATTCAAGATTGTTTATTGTCTCTTTTTCATTTTCACCAAATACATGCATGAATGTCTGGATCCTTAGCCTATTGGCTAGTAATAGATCCATTAAAAACATAATACAAATGAATCAGGGGCTATGTATGTACAACCACATGTTTGGGGGAAAATGTAGTACATACAGGTGTTCAAAAAATTGTCCATAAAAAGCATGTGTATGAATAAGAAAGACACATTCAAGATAAATTACAGTGCTAAAAACAAACGCTCGGTTTATACAAAAACTATGAATAAGACAGCTGTGTATAGTTCTCATTGCAATAACACACATACAGAAGACCACACGTCAGGACTGCAGTACATCGTCAGTGGTAGAGGCTGCAAATTTTATCGTCCCCAAAACAACAGCAGTAGGAAAAACATGTACAAGGTATTATAAGTTGATGTTATTTTCAATTTTTTTTCCCCTACTTTTTGTTCTTCGATAAGCTGGATGTTGTGTGATGCAAGAAAAAGTCTTTTAAAGCCTGATCTACCCTGGTTGATTGTAAAACGGATGATGGGAGATCATTCCAAACGCCGGCGTACTTGAGACGGCGTTGTCCGTATGTGTTATGAGAGAGAGGGATTAAAAATTTGCCTTCGGAGGCAGAGCGACTACTTTTACCTGGTGTTTGGAAAATAGTTCTAGGAAAGGGGAAGTTGTTACAAATGATTTTATATACCAAGAGAGTTATACGATAATCTCGTAGCGTAAGCACGGGCATTATTGCGGTTTTGGAAAATAGAGGCGGAGGGGGTGTACGAGGGGGAACATGGTTTATTATTCTCAAGGCTCTCTTTTGTAGGCATATTATGTGCTTGATGTATGTGTGATAGGTGAATCCCCAACAGTCGATGCAATATGTTATCTGAGATTGGAACAGAGAGAAGTAGATGGTGCGCAAGATATCAGTTTCCAAATGGTGTCGAGCTTTGGTCAGGGTAAAACAGACAGAGGAAAGTTTCTTCCCCAGTGTGTCTAAATGGGGCTTCCAGTTACAGGCATCGTCCAGCATTACGCCTAAATATGAGATACTACCGACTTTTTCTATTTCTTTATCATTGACCTTCAGCTTGCCCATAGTGAAGTCTACAGGCTTGCAGGGGGATTTAAAAACTATATATTTGGTTTTATCGGTTTTTAAAGTAAGCCTATTTGTTGTGAACCACTCGCTGATTTTTAAAAGTTTGTCGTTTAAAATATGTGCCGCAGTATGAAGTGACGGGGTGGTGAAAACTAGCGCTGTGTCATCCGCGTACATTACAGCACTTACCCTAGAAAGACAATTGGTTAAATCGTTAATATATAACGTAAAAAGAATGGGTCCGAGAACGGAGCCCTGTGGTACTCCTGCATCTACTGGTCTTAAACTGGAAACATGCTCGTCAATAACTACCCTTTGGTATCGCCCATTTAGACAACTTTTAAAAAACTGGAGGGACTGGCCTCTGAATCCGTATCGCTCAAGCTTTTGGCTTAATATTTCAAGATGAACTGTATCAAATGCTTTTCTAATGTCTAGAAACACACCTATAGCAAATTGGTTGTTGTTGAGGGCCTCATTAATTACATCTGTCACGGAAAGTACTGCAGATAGAGTTGATTTGGTTTTCTGAAAGCCATGTTGGTCCGGCGGTAGAATACCGTTTTTATGCAGGAAATTTTTTACTCGCATCGCTAATAACTTCTCGAACAACGTATTAATGCAGCTTAAGACGGATACAGGTCTGTAATTGTTGAGTTCATTTTGGTTTCCAGTTTTATAAATTGGGGTTACTTTAGCTATTTTTAGAATTTCAGGATATATACCCGTATGGAACGCTTTATTAAAAAGTAATACTAAGGTTGGAGCTAGGATTTCTATGTTTTTTGTAAGGACTGAAATAGGTATGCCATCAATGCCTTTAGCCTTCCCTGAATTCAAATTTTTAGCAGTTACTATAACCTCTGTTTCAGTTATGTCGATGTAACCAAATGACGGACCATGCCAAGGAGGTAAAGAAGGTTCTTTTGGTGAACTTAGGCCACTATGCAGGTTTGAGCCGACTGAACAGAAGTGCTCGTTGAACTGATTTGCGAGATTGTGCATTTGCGGCATTTCAGGGAGGACTCTTTTTGATGGAGTTGGCTGTATAATAGAGTTAATAACTTTCCAAAGTTTGCCACAGTCATTGGAAGTTGAAGTTACTTGTTTCTTGTAGTAGAGTCGCTTCTGTTTACGCATAGCTGCAACTGCTTTGTTTCTATATATTCTAAACTGGTTATTGTAATAAGAGTTCCCTCTGTTTTGTTTCATTTTGGTGTACCAGAAATCTCGCGTTTTTATAGCATTTAGTACGTTAGCTGTCATCCATGGACATATTGGATGCGTATGGTACGTTTTCTTTAATTTTTTACTGCTGTCCTTGATAATCGACTTTATCCGTTCGACTAGGGTCCGACAATGTTCGCTGACATCCATACCGTTAAGGTCCTCAAAATTGGCTGCAGAGAGCAGCTGCGAAACCCTCTCGTAATCAATTGATTGATTGATTGATATGTGAGGTTTAACGTCCCAAAACCACTATATGATTATGAGAGACGCCGTAGTGGAGGGCTCCGGAAATTTAGACCACCTGGGGTTCTTTAACGTGCACCCAAATCTAAGCACACGGGCCTACAACATTTCCGCCTCCATAGGAAATGCAGCCACCGCAGCCGGGATTCGAACCCGCGCCCTGCGGGTCAGCAGCCGAGTACCTTAGCCACTAGACCACCGCGGCGGGGCACCCTGTCGTAATCAAGCCGTGTAGTATAGCCATGAAAATTATTGCTGGTTATGTGGTTGTTGCCGAGACGATATAGGAATGCTATTGGCAAGTGGTCAGCTACAGGAATGTCGTATGTTCCTGAAAGGGAACTGACAGGTTTGAAGTTGCATAGGACATGATCCAAGCATGCACAGGTGTCTGAAGTGATGCGAGTGGGATATGAAATGAGATTTTGGAAGCCATAAGAATTTAGCAAGTTTTGATAGTCATCACAGTTGTCACCTAAGATATTGATGTTCATATCGCCCACAACTACTGTATTCTTATGATTGTCGTTTAGGTAAGACAAAATACTTTCAAGGTCTTTCAGAAACTGCTTGCGATGCGACTACGGGGGTCTATATACAGCACCGTAAATGACATCATCAATTTCTACAAATAAGGATTCACAACTAGTAGCAGCAGGTAAGTATGAACATTTTTTATATGCGAGAGGCTTCCTAATATATATTCCTACTCCTCCTCCCCTATTATTTGCTTCTCGAGGGTGGGATATAAACAAGTACTTAGGAATGTTATAGCTTTCGCCAGGCATCAACCAGGTTTCTGTAAGCGCAATAACATCGTACATACATGAATGCTGGGTTAGAAGGGAGCAAAGAGCATCGCTGTTTTTTGAAACGCTTCTAATATTACAGTGAAGTATAGAGCGTGTGCCTTTTGTTTTATGGAAGTTGTCATCTACAGATGGAGTCAGCATAACAGAAGGGCTTATGCTATCTGCGCAAGATCGGCTTCGTTGCGGATGCGGATAGTGTCCGAGTTCTCGGCTTTTTTCATCAATATGCGCCCGTTTGCAACCCAAGCGTGTCGCCAATCGTGACGTTTTTTTTGCGGCAATAGTTTTTCCCAGTAGGGCTTTATACGAAGGACAGAGATGTTCGTTAAAATACACAGGCGTCGATCCGGCAATTCCAAGGTCAGATGTATTCAGTCGCATTTTTTTCGTAGCATAAAGCAGCTTATCGCGGGCTGCGCAGGACATAAATTTTATGACAATGTTTGACACATTTCTGTCCTTAGTCGGTACCCAGTGGGCTACATCAATATCAGCTGGAGATAGCGTTACTTTACCAATTGATAAACCATTGGAACAGTGGATTCCAATCGGCCTCCCAATTAGAATGCTTGTTGGTCCAATTGGATGTGCACACCCAAATAGGAAAAGACTTTCCAATTGGAGAAGACCCTTTAGTGGAAACATTCTAGTTGCAAAGAGTTCATGTTGTGAGTGTTCAACTGGTTCACCTAATAGAAACCAGTTAATTTCAACTGGCTGACCAGCTAAAGACCAGTTCTTTTCAACTGGTTGAACCTATGGAGTGCCATGTGCAAGTTCTGTGAAATCGGCAATGAGTGAAAGTGGTAAAAATTTTTTAACATTTTTTTAAAATCATAAAACACCTTACTACAGTACTACTGCACACTTTTCTTGCCACTTGACATCTTTATCATGCGAGCAGCCGCCGAAGTTTATTCATAAGAGAACACAGTGAGAGAGCGGCTGAGCAAGCATGGTTTAGTACTGACAACCATTCCAAAAACGCTGCATTCGAAGTAATAAAGTAAGGTCAAAATAAACTTTAAAATTAATTATCACTATAAAATTTTGTATTGTTTTTTGACCAAAGCAATAGTCATGTAGTTTATACTTTCATAAAGTGCATGCGCTCACAGTGCAAGCATGGTGGCAAGTGCCATCAGCATCGTCATCAGCAGCGCACCACCGCAGCGAACACAAGTCATAAGCTTTACCGGCGTGTTTTATATCCAGCGTCTTTGCAATAATCATGTTGGCATGATCCATTGAATCAGCCCCATTTCTTCACAATCAAGGCAAGTATTTTGTTTTTGAACCACCTTATCTGCTGTATCATTAGCACCTTTTGCACATTTTGTTCGTTACCCTAAGTAGTGTTGGCTCGCGACTGCAGCGGACACGGTGCACGGGCGCAGCAGGCATGAAGTGTGGGAGCTGCTGTACGCGGTAAGCCTTGTTACATCGATAACATTTCCATTCTTCATGCAGAAATAACCACACTCGTCTGGAACACTCGAATGACGCACTCCGAATTGCACTGTCGATGTTGGCATGCATGACCGCTTAGGACGAATTCTCTATGTGTGGAGTTTCTCGAACTACCCGATCCTGGAAAGTGCCAGAGCGTTCAGTTACAACATTTTAGACTAGTGTATTAACCTCTTTACTTCAGCCATGTAGCCCATTTTTCTCTGTCTTATATTTTTCGTTAGCACAGCCTGCCCGCATGATTCCCGATGCAACTCGGAACAAAGAAAAAAAACTGAGCACCAGCGACCTCCTTTCCAGAAGCTGCAGCAGAACAGGCGGCAGTTTGACTACAAATACCCTCACTAGCAGAAATTGGGGAGTTTTACTACAAAGCTCACTCTGCATGAGACATTTTCGCAGAACTATTGTTGTCTAATAAAGGCTCTTTGTGTTGAGCACTAGTTTACTTTAAGTGGATGACCATTTGCGCTCAGCCGGTTAACCAGTTGGCAACCAGCCTAATTCAACTGGCTGACCAGTCGAGCACCTGTTACCTTCAATTGAATGACCACATCTATTCAATTGCTTAACCAATTAAAAACCATGTACCTGAGACTTTCCGTCTAGTTGGACACTAGTTCTCTTCAACTGGCAAACCATTTAGACGCCAGCTACGTTCAATTGGATGAATACACCTATTCCAATTAGTTAACCAATTGAAGACCACCTAGTTTCAACTGGGGAACCATTTACGATTAACTGGATTACCAGTTCCACACCAGCTCACTTTAACTGGTTAGCCATTTGGGCACCAGTGAGCTTAAATTGGATGACCAATTGGTCCCCCACCTACATCATTTGTCATCAACCCCTTTCACCAATGTGGTCGCTAGGCCTGCCGATTCTTCATTCAAGACATCGTTTAGACAGCCCACAATTATCGCGAGGTTTCGTCCATTATCTTTAGTTGTGAGTTTCCCGCTCGCTTGCCTCATCACTGCTTCCAGCTTATATCCTGGGAACGTCTCTATTGAAACCCTCTTGTCGCCTCTTACCCTCTCTTTGATTGCTTCTGCGCATCGATTTAGGTTCGAGTCCCCGGTGATTATCACATGCTGTGAATTTTCTGCTAGAGAGTCCCGCACCTGGAGCTTACTTGCATTTGTACCACCAGCTACCTTGTTCCTTCCCACCCCCACAATTACTTCACAGAAGCTGGGTCTTGTGACCATTGAACCGACTGAACCTGTTTTTTCTGAACCTGTTTCCCCTTTTTTTCTCTATCATTATGGGTGCCGGTACCCTACCGTTCACTCCATTGGCTGCTTCTTTGTTCACCTTCGCTAGTGCTTCTTTGGCTGATGATGATGATATATGGTGTTTTTTGGCGCAAGGGCCATTTAATGGCCAAAGAGCGCCAGTTCATGGGACAAGGAATGTGGATAATGATTGTGATTAGCGGCTGTATAAGGGCCATAAAATTCCTCGCAGTAAGGCGGTTAAAAACATACAAGTAATAAAATCATGACCATGCCGTGAAAGGTGTGTGTGGTGTGAATAGGTGACAAAAGTTGGAGATAATGTAAAACGATGGTGGACATGTATGGCATTAGCACAAGTACCTCACTCTATCATACCCTTGCATCCAAGGGCCGTGAGGCAAGTGCCTTCCTGTGTAGCCACCGCAGCAAAAACCTCTCTGGAGAGGTCGTGCTTTGGAATGCCCGGGTATATGATATGAAAATTATGAATTTCTTTTAAAAACGCTAACAATGATTTATTACTAAAAAATGGTTCCCTACCAATGAACATTGCAGGGTGTAGAGGTATATGTTGCCGGTAGGGTAATGGAAAGTGTTGTCTTCTTAGAGTGTCTAACTGTTTACATTGAATTAAAACGTGAAGAACTGTTAACGCCTCACCACATTTATCACACAATGGTGGATCACCACCTGACGAAAGATGTGTGTGTGTCGTGTATGTGTGTCCTATCCTGAGTCTTGTTAGTGTTACCTCCGTTAGACGTGATTTTGATACTGGTCGCCAATGGCCAAGGTGTGGCTTGATAACGTGTAGTTTGTTTTGTGTGTGTGTATCCCACTTGCTCTGCCAGTAGTACCTGAGGTTTCGTTTGAGAGACGGCTTAAGATCAAGGGCCGGGATTAATATGGGTGTAGGGGCAGTGCTTTTGTGGACGGATGCAGCGAGCTGATTCACCCTCACGTTGCCTTGGATCTCACGGTGCCCTGGCACCCAGCACACTACAACATGTTGTTTGAGTGTGTAGAGTGTGCACAAAATGGAGTAAAGTGAGACAAGGACCAGGTTTTTTTGTTTTTTAAGACTGTGCAGAGCCATTACCACACTGAGGGAGTCTGTATAAATTACTGCTTTTTGTATTTGTAATTGTTTGATGTGTTTAGCTGCCACAAGTATCGCGTAAGCTTCCGCTGTGAAGATACTTGTGCCTGGATGTAGAGGGCCAGCATCCGAAAAGGATGGGCCGACAGCAGCGTAGGACACAGAGGAGTTAGACTTGGAGGCATCTGTAAAGAACTCAGGACGTGTGTATTTGTGTTGAAGTTCCAGAAAGTATGTTCGGATATGGGCAATAGGTGCATGTTTTGTAACTTCTAGGAAAGACACATCGCAGTCTATAGTCTGCCACTGCCACGGTGGCGGGTACGCTACAGGAGCCATTAAACTGTGTTCAAGTGACACTCCAGTTTCTTCAGCTAGACCCCTCAGGCGAACTGAGAAGGGCTGCCTCATCGAAGGCCTGTTTTGAAACAGAATGGAGCTCGACAGATCATTAATAGTAGAGTGGGAGGGGTGCTTCTTGTCTGCTTTCACCTTAAGAAAATATACAAAGGACATGTAAGTTCTCTGTAGATGAAGCGACCATTCATTTGACTCAACGTAAAGGCTTTCTACGGGGCTGGTGCGAAAAGCACCCGTAGAAAGGCGGATGCCCAAATGATACACGGGGTCCAGCATCTTCAAAGCACTTTGAGTTGCAGACTGATAAACAACGGCCCCATAATCTAAGCGGGTGCGAATGAGGCTTCGATACAGATTCATGAGGCATTGCCTATCACTACCCCAAGTAGTACGTGACAACACTTTTAAAACATTCATGGCTTTTAAACATTTTGTTTTTAAATACTTGATGTGCGGTACGAAGGTCAACTTGTTGCCCAAGATTAAGCCTAAGAATTTATGCCCGGCTTTGACAGAGAGACGTTGCCCCTTCAGTCGAATGTCAGGTTCCGAGTGCATGCCTCTCTTTTGAGAGAACAAGACACACGTGCTTTTTTGTGGGTTAAGTCGAAATCCGTTTTCATCTGCCCATTTGGAGACCTTGTTTAAACCCAGCTGAACCTGCCGCTCACACATTGCCAAGTTGCATGACTTGAAGCCAAGCTGAACGTCGTCGACATATGTACAATACAACATATTGCGGGGGATGGACAAGTGCAAGGAATTCATTTTGATAATAAAAAGTGTGCAACTAAGTACACCACCTTGTGGCACGCCTGTTTCTTGGACAAATGTTTGGGAGAGAACACTGCCCACACGGACACGGAATGTCCGGTTTGACAGGTAACTTTCGATTATGTGAAACATTCTTCCACGCACACCAAGGTGGGACAGGTCTCTTATAATTCCAAAATGCCATGTTGTATCATAAGCCTTTTCGATATCGAGGAACACAGAGAGAAAATATTGTTTATGGATGAAGGCGTCTCTGATCTGTGCCTCGATACGAACAAGGTGGTCTGTGGTGGATCTACTTTCTCGAAACCCGCACTGAAATGGGTCGAGCAAATTGTTTGTTTCAAGGATATGTACAAGTCGGCAGTTTATCATTTTTTCGAAGACTTTGCACAAGCAGCTTGTAAGTGCAATAGGCCTATAACTCGAAGCTAAAGAAGGGTCCTTGCCCTCTTTCAAAATGGGAATAATAATAGCCTCTTTCCAGGAGGTAGGGATAGTACCAGAAAACCAGACAGCATTGTACAAACAAAGTAAGGTTTTCCGTGTTTCGGCTGGTAGGTTTTTTAGAAATTTCATACACCACACGGTCAGAACCTGGGGCAGAAGTACTGCAGGAGTTTAGAGATGTTCAGAGCTCAGCTAGACTGAAAGCTTGGTTATATGCCTCGTATCTAGTGGATTTGTGTTCGAGTTTCTGCTTTTCTATTCTTGTTCTGTATTTTTGGAAAGTGTCAGTATAGTGGGACGAGCTGGATACCCGTTCAAAGTGTGCACCGAGGAAGTTTGCCTGATCTTCCAAGGTATCACTCTGAGTGTTTACGAGTGGCAGTGAGTGTACTTGTCTTCCTGCTACCCTACGAACCATGTTCCAGACTTTGGCCTCTTGTGTATATGAATTTGTCCCTGATAAAAACTTGTGCCAGCTTTCTCTTCTGGCCTGCCGACGCGTTCTCCTGCCTCGAGATTTTATTTTCTTAAAGCTCTCAAGGTTTTCCGCTGTCGGCGAGTTCCGCAGCAACCTCCATGCCCTGTTCTGTTCCTTTCACGCATTCTGACACTCAGTGTTCCACCACGGGACGTGTCGTTTGCCGGGCAGTCCAGATGTTTGTGGAATGCACTTGGCTGCTGCGTCAGTAAGAAAAGCCGTGAAGTACTGCACAGCTTCATCTATGCCTAATCCGCATATGTCTGTCCAATTTAAGTGAGTAAGCTTTTGAAATTGTTCCCAGTCGGCTTTGTTTACCAGCCATTTGGGAACATGTGAAGGACATTAATATATTATTGGTGTACTCAAAACTAAAGGAAAATGGTCACTTCCATATGTATTATTTATGACTTTCCACTGAAGTAATGGTACAAGTGAAGGAGATGCGATACTGAAGTCTATGGAAGAGTAAGTTTTGTTGGCAAGGTTACAGTATGTTGCCTCTTTCCTATTCAACAGACAAGCACCTGATGAAATGAGGAATTGTTCAATGAGACGACTTCGTGCATCACAGCGAGAGTCACCCCACAGACCATTATGTGCGTTCAGGTCTCCAAGGACCAGATAAGGTTCAGGTAGTTCGTCTATTAAAGACTGGAATTGAAGTTTTTCCAGACGGTGGTGCGGAGGTATGTACAAAGAGCAGACAGTGACGAGTTTGTTTAGAATAACTGCTCGGACAGCCACCGCCTCGAGGGAAGTTTGAAGGGGTAATTGTGTACATGCTATATCTTGACTAACTATAACCGCTACACCATTGAATGGTGGCATGGCATCATCTCTATCCTTTCGGAAGATTACGTAGTTGTGTAAAAAGTTTGTGTTTGTTCGTTTCAAGTGTGTCTCTTGTACACACAGCACTCTAGGATTGTGTTCATGGAGGAGTTCTTGTAAGTCATCGAGGTTTCGAAGAAGGCCTCGGATGTTCCACTGTAATATTTCTGTCTGCATATTTAAACAAGAGAGATGCTGCTGTGTGTACA